TCACGGGGCTCGTAGGGAGAAGCTAGGCCTCTGGTCTGCCATCTGCCCCGCCCCAAAGGGGCTCGTGGGGATGGCAGTCTTGTGAGCTGCAGGTGGTAGCAAGCTCAGGCAGTTTCAGTTTTCCATACATCAATCTTTACTCGTGGTACACTTGACAAGTCTCACAGTTACACCAACTTACGTAAAATATTGTTTCAGAAAGTGTGCTGGTACCTCTTTCATCTCCTAAGATTTTGGGTTTCTATATATCACTGCATTTAACTTTTTCTAGATTTTTTTTCTAACCCCACCACACCAAATACTATGGAATTACGATTGTTAGCTATGACAGAGCGACTGCTGCAGAAAGTTCGTTAGAAAAGTATTTGGCTTCTGTTGTGTACACACAACCGCTGCCAACTATAATTTTTACTTATTTCCACAAATAACTGGACACTTTCAGACAATGTTTGGCTCGCAGCCCAAGTTTTTCAGGTTCGTAAAGAGTACATGGTAAATATGTACTCTCCTGTGTACTCTTTATACACTTGAAAAACGTTGTCTCTAAACTAGCAGGTTATATTTTGATGACGTACATACGACTGACTGGTGAGTGACACCATAACCCACTGGAGAGTGACACCATAACCCACTGGAGAGTGACACCATAACCCACTGGAGAGTGACACCATAACCCACTGGAGAGTGACACCATAACCCACTGGTGAGTGACACCATAACCCACTGGAGAGTGACACCATAACCCACTGGTGAGTGACACCATAACCCACTGGAGAGTGACACCATAACCCACTGGTGAGTGACACCATAACCCACTGGAGAGTGACACCATAACTCACTGGAGAGTGACACCATAACCCACTGGTGAGTGACACCATAACCCACTGGAGAGTGACACCATAACCCACTGGAGAGTGACACCATAACCCACTGGAGAGTGACACCATAACCCACTGGAGAGTGACACCATAACCCACTGGTGAGTGACACCATAACCCACTGGAGAGTGACACCATAACCCACTGGAGAGTGACACCATAACCCACTGGAGAGTGACACCATAACCCACTGGAGAGTGACACCATAACCCACTGGAGAGTGACACCATAACCCACTGGTGAGTGACACCATAACCCACTGGTGAGTGACACCATAACCCACTGGTGAGTGACACCATAACCCATTGGAGAGTGACACCATAACCCACTGGAGAGTGACACCATAACCCACTGGTGAGGGACACCATAACCCACTGGAGAGTGACACCATAACCCACTGGAGAGTGACACCATAACCCACTGGAGAGTGACACCATAACCCACTGGAGAGTGACACCATAACCCACTGGAGAGTGACACCATAACCCACTGGAGAGTGACACCATAACCCACTGGAGGAGTGACACCATAACCCACTGGAGAGTGACACCATAACCCACTGGTGAGTGACACCATAACCCACTGGAGAGTGACACCATAACCCACTGGTGAGTGACACCATAACCCACTGGAGAGTGACACCATAACCCACTGGTGAGTGACACCATAACCCACTGGTGAGTGACACCATAACCCACTGGTGAGTGACACCATAACCCACTGGAGAGTGACACCATAACCCACTGGTGAGTGACACCATAACCCACTGGAGACTGACACCATAACCCACTGGAGAGTGACACCATAACCCACTGGTGAGTGACACCATAACCCACTGGTGAGTGACACCATAACCCACTGGTGAGTGACACCATAACCCACTGGTGAGTGACACCATAACCCACTGGAGAGTGACACCATAACCCACTGGACAGTGACACCATAACCCACTGGAGAGTGACACCATAACCCACTGGAGAGTGACACCATAACCCACTGGAGAGTGACACCATAACCCACTGGAGAGTGACACCATAACCCACTGGACAGTGACACCATAACCCACTGGTGAGTGACACCATAAAGCACTGGAGAGTGACACCATAACCCACTGGAGAGTGACACCATAACCCACTGGAGAGTGACACCATAACCCACTGGAGAGTGACACCATAACCCACTGGAGAGTGACACCATAACCCACTGAGAGAGTGACACCATAACCCACTGGTGAGTGACACCATAACCCACTGGAGAGTGACACCATAACCCACTGGAGAGTGACACCATAACCCACTGGAGAGTGACACCATAACCCACTGGAGACTGACACCATAACCCACTGGAGAGTGACACCATAACCCACTGGTGAGTGACACCATAACCCACTGGTGAGTGACACCATAACCCACTGGTGAGTGACACCATAACCCACTGGTGAGTGACACCATAACCCACTGGAGAGTGACACCATAACCCACTGGACAGTGACACCATAACCCACTGGAGAGTGACACCATAACCCACTGGAGAGTGACACCATAACCCACTGGAGAGTGACACCATAACCCACTGGAGAGTGACACCATAACCCACTGGACAGTGACACCATAACCCACTGGTGAGTGACACCATAAAGCACTGGAGAGTGACACCATAACCCACTGGAGAGTGACACCATAACCCACTGGAGAGTGACACCATAACCCACTGGAGAGTGACACCATAACCCACTGGAGAGTGACACCATAACCCACTGGAGAGTGACACCATAACCCACTGGTGAGTGACACCATAACCCACTGGAGAGTGACACCATAACCCACTGGAGAGTGACACCATAACCCACTGGAGAGTGACACCATAACCCACTGGAGAGTGACACCATAACCCACTGGAGAGTGACACCATAACCCACTGGAGAGTGACACCATAACCCACTGGAGAGTGACACCATAACCCACTGGACAGTGACACCATAACCCACTGGAGAGTGACACCATAACCCACTGGAGAGTGACACCATAACCCACTGGAGAGTAACACCATAACCCACTGGAGAGTGACACATTAACCCACTGGAGAGTAACACCATAACCCACCGGAGGGTGACACCATAACCCACTGGAGAGTGACACCATAACCCACTGGAGAGTGACACCATAACCCACTGGAGAGTGACACCATAACCCACTGGAGAGTGACACCATAACCCACTGGAGAGTGGCACCATAACCCAGTGGACAGTGACACCATAACCCACTGGAGAGTGACACCATAACCCACTGCAGAGTGACACCATAACCCACTGGAGAGTAACACCATAACCCACTGGAGAGTGACACATTAACCCACTGGAGAGTAACACCATAACCCACCGGAGGGTGACACCATAACCCACTGGACAGTGACACAATAACCCATTGGAGAGTGACACCATAACCCACTGGATAGTGACACTATAACCCACTGGAGAGTGACACCATAACACACTTTAGAGTGACACCATAACCCACTGGAGAGTGACACCATAACACACTTTAGAGTGACACTATAACCCACTGTAGAGTGACACCATAACCCACTGGAAAGTGACACCATAACCCACTGGAGAGTAACACTATAACCCACTGGATAGTAACACCATAACCCATTGAGAGTGACACCATAACCCACTGGAGAGTGACACCATAACCCACCGGAGAGTGACACCATAACCCACCGGAGAGTGACACCATAACCCACTGGAGAGTGACACCATAACCCACTGGAGAGTGACACCATAACCCACAGGAGAGTGACACCATAACCCACTGGAGAGTGACACCATAACCCACTGGAGAGTGACACCATAACCCACTGGAGAGTGACACCATAACCCACTGGAGAGTGACACCGTAACCCACTGGAGAGTGACACCATAACCCACTGGAGAGTGACACCATAACCCACTGGAGAGTGACACCATAACCCACTGGAGAGTGACACCATAACCCACTGGTGAGTGACACCATAACCCACTGGTGAGTTACACCATAACCCACTGGAGAGTGACACCATAACCCATTGGAGAGTGACACCATAACCCACTGGACAGTGACACCATAACCCACTGGAGAGTGACACCATAACCCACTGGAGAGTGACACCATAACCCACTGGAGAGTAACACCATAACCCTCTGGAGAGTGACACATTAACCCACTGGAGAGTAACACCATAACCCACCGGAGGGTGACACCATAACCCACTGGAGAGTGACACCATAACCCACTGGAGAGTGACACCATAACCCACTGGAGAGTGACACCATAACCCACTGGAGAGTGACACCATAACCCACTGGAGAGTGACACCATAACCCACTGGACAGTGACATCATAACCCACTGGAGAGTGACACCATAACCCACTGGAGAGTGACACCATAACCCACTGAAGAGTAACACCATAACCCACTGGAGAGTGATACATTAACCCACTGGAGAGTAACACCATAACCCACCGGAGGGTGACACCATAACCCTCTGGACAGTGACACCATAACCCATTGGAGAGTGACACCATAACCCACTGGAGAGTGACGCCATAACACACTTTAGAGTGACACCATAACCCACTGGAGAGTGACACCATAACACACTTTAGAGTGACACTATAACCCACTGGAGAGTGACACCATAACCCACTGGAAAGTGACACCATAACCCACTGGAGAGTAACACTATAACCCACTGGATAGTAACACCATAACCCATTGAGAGTGACACCATAACCCACTTGAGAGTGACACCATAACCCACCGGAGAGTGACACCATAACCCACCGGAGAGTGACACCATAACCCACTGGAGAGTGACACCATAACCCACTGGAGAGTGACACCATAACCCACTGGAGAGTGACACCATAACCCACTGGAGAGTGACACCATAACCCACTAGAGAGTGACACCATAACCCACTGGAGAGTGACACCATAACCCACTGGAGAGTGACACCATAACCCACTGGAGAGTGACCCACTTACACAAAACGCTGGACTAAACATTACAATGTGTAGTGTGTATTCCCTGGCACTAAGCAAATGGCACTCAGCGAGGCTTGTTCTTCCTCCGTGACAGGCACTGTGCCGCCCCAACCGTCACACCATCTCCGGCTACTTCCTGGCTGGTCGCTACATGTGGTGGCTGCCGGTGAGTGCCAGTTGCTGGCCACGAGCAAGTGCCAACAGTCTGCTTGCTCAGCCTTTGGTCTTCTCTTTGATGGTAACCTGAACATAATATAAACTAGACGTGACACAAGAAAGAGATCCCCTTGTTCGTCAAGCCCAGCCACCTCTACCTCAACGCAAGAACAAGAAGTAGTGCAGGATGGTGATGAAATTCTAACAAATTAATACATAAAAAATATTCATTTTCATTTGAGTGTATACGTTTGTATGTATATGTATGTTCACATGTATGTATATGTATGTTTACATGTATGTATATGTATGTTCACATGTATGTATATGTATGTTCACATGTTTGTGTGTGCTTCTGTTTGCAAATATGTATGTAGTGTTTCATAAGTAAGAATGTGTGTGTATGTTTATACTTGAATGTATGTGTATATTTTTATACATGCGTTTATGTATTTTAGAGCATGTGTATACATGTATACATGTATTCCTGTGCATTAATATACGTATGAATGTGTATACATGTGCTTTTTTTTAAGTGGCTCTTTTACTTGGCCCGTTTCAATTTTTCCTGTATACTTCCCCTATGTGTTTATTGCTCAGTATATATTTTTATTATATAATATATTTATATATATATAATATTTATATATATATTATATTATATTATTAATAAATATATATATTATTTATGTATATATATATATATATATATTAGGTGCACACACTTTCTAACAATGTATAATTAAAGTGCAAAATTTCTCGCGAAGTGAAAAAAACAGGGGCATTCATAGACACAACAAAAAACATGTACAAATCCGTGGTCAAGACTATAACCGCTACCAGTAGATACAGAAATCTGCTGGAACAATGTAGAAGTATTAAAGAAAAAATTGGGGGTGTGCAGTAATGAAACACCTGGATTTCATGCAATAAGCAGGAAACCTTTTCCCCAAAAACAGGTCACAGGTACATCACAGGCAGAAGCTTTTGTAGCAGCAGCTTAAAAGCTTGTACCAAATTTGACAGGGTAGGTAAAAACCCCATCAAAAAAGGGGAAGTACTCCTGGTTAATGTTCAATTCGCTCGTGCCCCCCCAAAAGGAATTTTGCTCGGTGTTGACGGCCCCTTCAGGGTTGGAAAAAATATCAATTTGGGAACAAGTACAGAGACCGTTTACGACCCGATGAACCCGTAAAAACATTTCAATTATGGGAAAACCTTTTAAGCTTATATATGTACTACTGGAGTGAGTACAATTTAAGATGTTTGGACAAAGGGCCTTTTTAAAAACCTAGAAAATGTTTAAAAAGATTTTAGATAATCCACTGCCAAACAAAAAATAAAACAAGAGATATCGGAGAAAAAACAAAAAAACCACTAAAAGCGGGGGGTGTTGGGGGACAATAAGAAAAACATTTTATCAAAAATTCTGGCCCCCCCACTATTCAACATCTTACTACAAGATTTTGGAACTTTGTAAAAGTCTTCAAAAGAAAATTGGACAAGTATCTTTCACCGGGTTTACGGATCACCAGGCTGTAACGGATTTGTGGGGAGCTGGCCTCCCCGGACCAAAGCCCGGTTGACCAGGCTAGACCAGAGGAGCCTGCCATGGCCGGGGTTCGGGGGGTAAAAAATCTCGGTATTCATCAAAAGGGATGTCAAAGGTATTTCACGTACACAGCCAGAATCAAAAAAAATAATTCGTACGTTAAGGACCGCATTACTCAGCGTTTGAAGCCCATCGTAGGTTTTTTTATTTTTTACACAGAGAAAAATTTTTTAATAAAACTGGAAAATTTAAATGTACCTGGCTCAAAGTGAATGTCAAAAATTTCCTTTGTGTAATAAGAGCCCCAAAATGAAGTTTGAAGCCCGTCGAAGAGACGTTCTGGTAAAATTTCTGGGTTTTCCCAAAGGTAGTTGTAAAATTTTCAATTTTGACAGATTAAACTTTGTGCATCTACCATCTTTTTGACGGCCTCAGCGATGGTATTTAAAAGCCTGTCAGAAGAGGCACAGTTTGCTTATTTTATGAATATCAATATTGCAATTTGTTTAATGAAATTATAAAGTGAGATCAGTGCAACCAATACTGAAACGAATCTCTCGCTAAAAGTGTGAAGCCGATCTGAAGAGATATTCTCCAGTTATTGAACGGATTCCATCGATTCCAAGTTTTTAACATGTTTGTATATTGATAAATTTGTCCACAAACAATTAACCTAATGAAAAATATTCTGTCCATAAGATGTACGATTCATTAAATACTGAAGCAGAGCTGAAGAGGTGTATCCACAAACATTTAATGTATTTACAGGAATAAGAAAGCTATATTTTATATATAAAACTGACAACTGTGAACCTCTGTACTTTAGTTTCATTCTTTGTCATAACAAAGTTGGAGACATTTATTATTAAATGTTTGAAGCCAGGCAACAGAGGCTTTTCAAGATTAGTTGATATATTCCAGGAATTTAGCAATATGTTGTACCTTGTTGAATTAGACACATGTGCAACTCTTGGGTGTCTTTACTTCCACATTGGACAAATGTGACACCACCTACGACTGCTGCACCTCACCTGTCTACGGTTTATAAGCTGCTTCTCCGCTCATATGCCGTATTCTATTCAAGATTGATGGACTGAACACATCGACTCAAGGCTGAGGGACTGATTACCTCATTCTCCTCCTATTCTTCAAGATTCTCATTTGTATGGACTGATGAAGCCACTGTGTGGCGAAACGTTTCCTCAATAAAGATACCCAAGAGTTGCACATGTGTCTAATTCAACAACATGTCGGTTCTCTGAACCATTCCTCTACATGTTGTACCTTGTTGGTCATAGGGTTCGTGCACATGCAAAAAGATTCATGAATTTAGCTCAAATTACAGTGTGCCAGTAGAGAAAATTTGATGCCAAATGAACGCGGCGTTTTCCGGTTTCGATCGATATGAAAATATAATTTTAGAAGAAAAAATTACAACCACTTGAAAGTTTCCTTCTGAGATAATTGACAATGGACGAGGATCATGACGGTGAGAGTCTTAAACAACTTATTGACAGGGAGAGAGTGAGTGAGAGAGAGAGAGAGAGTGTGTGTGTGTGTGAGAGAGAGAGAGAGAGAGAGAGAGATGCACTTCATCCACCTGTGTGTATGTATCTGTCTTCCATAATTCTCCTTTACGATGGATCATCATTCCTTCAGTGTTTTCTAATAATACAAGTAACTTTGCTTGAGGACTAGTCTGGTTGCTAACCTTAGCAAGTTTTCAACCCATGTAAATGATTATTGAGTTAGGGGCTCCTAGAGGCTGCTGCATATTTACGTAATGCTTTTGAGAGTTGAATAGAGAGACACTGGTATGTGTGTCTTTATTAACACAGAGTACCGATGGTTGGGAGCCCCAAGTTAGGGTTAAAACAATGGGAGAGAAGAGAGCGTGAGACCCAGCTACTAATGCTAGCAGATGAGTTGATTCAGCGAGCATACGACACGTTCCACACGTCTCATGCTGCAGAAAATACTGATGCCTTAATGAACTGAGGCTTACTGGTTATATTTTCCAATAGTGTGTGTGTGTGTGTGTGTGTGTATGTGTGTGTGTGTGTGTTTACAAGCGTCTCTCCTGCAGGTTGGAGCGTCACTCTTCGCCAGCAACATCGGAGCAGAACACTTGATAGGTATGGCTGGGTCTGGCGCTGCTAGTGGCATCGCCGTCGGGGCTTTCAACTTTATAGTAAGTCAACAGTAGTTTCTCTCTCTCTCTCTCTCTCTCTCTCTCTCCTCCCCTCTCTCTCTCTCATCTTTTCTCTCTCTCCTCTCTCTCCTCTCTCTCTCTCTCTCTCCCCTCTTCTCTCTCTCTCTCTCTGTCTCTGTCTGTCTCTCTCTCTCTCTCTCTCTCTCTCTCTCTCTATCTATCTATCTATCTATCTATCTATCTATCTATCTATCTGATCTAAACCTCCATAATCTGACACCCAATCGAAACCTATTGGAAAGTAACTGCCTTTATTACACAGCATCACAAGCCAGCACTATCCTAAACAATGCTAAAAGTCTATCAGTACTTAACTACAACATCAGGTCCTTAAGCAAACACTATGATGACCTCCTGGCACTCCTTGAATCACTAAAGACACCCTTCTCCTGCATTATTCTTACTGAGACCTGGCTTAAGCAGGACACAATAGATATCTACCCTCTACCAGGATACACAGCAATTCACAACTGCAGACCAAACCAAGTTGGGGGTGGTATTGCAATCTATTACTCTAACCAATTATCTTGTATTAGCACCACTTGCTTTAGTGATGAATATGGGGAATACATTTTTGCTAATTTTACTGTAAAAAACCTTAAGACACCTATAACAATCGGTGCCATTTACCGGATACCTCACACAAACATCCCGAATTTCAGTGAGAAATTAAAGTCACTAATAACAAACAGACAAATGAACAAGCACCACCTTCTCTTAGCTGGAGACTTCAACATCAACCTTGGCTTACTAGATGATCAGCCTGTAACTGATTTCATCAACAATATGAACAACACACTTCTCAAACCAACAATAACTAAACCAACCAGGCTCACTGAGACAAGTGCAACCATAATAGACCACATATGGACCAATATACTAGCCCCCCTTAAATCAGGGATAATCACAGATAGCACTACAGACCACTACCCTACCTTCCTCCTGACAAACATTAGTAAACCACCACTTGAATACAACAAAGTCTCATTTAGACTCCATGACGAGGCCTCAATAAGGAAGTTCACAGCTGACCTAGAGACTGTTGACTGGCCTACAGAATTCTCCAAGGCCAATGGTATTGATGACTGGACAGACATTTTTCTTAACAAATTACTTAGACTATACAACAAACATTGTCCTATAAAAACGAAACAGATCACAAACAAACGGCTTGGTTGACCATGGCTAACCAGCACCATTCTGAAATCCATTGACAAGAAACACCAATATGAAAAGCAATATAGACAGGGCTTAATACACAAAGATATTCTTAAACACTATTCATCAGTCCTCACCAAAGTAATAAAGAAAGCCAAACAGCTATACTACTCCAGTAGATTCACTGACACAAGAGGAAATATAAAATATACCTGGAAAACACTCTCAGATTCTAGGGACCCACAAACTGAAAAAAAAACAAGAATATTGTCCTAACTAAACCTAATGAAACACCACTACATCCCACTGACACAGCTAACAAGATAAACGACTTCTTCTTAACCATAGGATCTAATCTCGCCAATAAAATCCCACATACCAATGCCCATGCCGGGGACTACCTAGATGGAAATTTCCCTAATTCCTTCTATCTTGCACCAACTGAGCCCACGGAAGTCATTGAGATCATAAAGTCACTTAAAAATAACTCGGGGAATCTGTCTCATGTCCCACCATTACTGTACAAGCGAGCGGCCCATGTCCTTTCGCATGCTATTTCATTACTTTTTAACAAGTCACTAGAAACTAGCACCTTCCCGAAACTACTCAAGATGGCAAGGTGGTGACCCTACAGACTTAAACAACTATAGGCCAATATCAAACTTACCATTGCTATCCAAAATCTTTGAGAAACTCGTGCACAGGAGACTATATTCATTTATAACAGCACAAAACATACTCAACCCCTGCCAATTTGGATTCAGGAAAAATAAAAGCACTAATGATGCAATCATAAAAATGCTAGATCTGCTTTACACAGCATTGGAAAATAAGGAATATCCACTAGGAATTTTTATTGACCCAAGAAAAGCTTTTGACACAGTAGACCACGACATCCTACTCCACAAACTTGACCATTACGGTATAAGAGGCCATGCGCTTGCTTATTTCAAATCTTACCTTACTAATAGGTATCAGTATGTCACCATTAAAGACACAGCATCAACAACACGGCCACTTGATACTGGAGTTCCCCAAGGAAGTGTCCTTGGTCCCCTGCTCTTCCTCATATACATCAATGATCTTCCAAACGTATCCCAACACCTGAAACCCATTCTCTTTGCTGACGACACGACTTACATCATCTCTCACTCTAATCTTGCAACCATCAACACCATTGTTAACGAGGAGCTGATCAAAATATCGACTTGGATGACAGCCAATAAACTTACGCTTAACACTGACAAAACCTACTATATTATGTTTGGTAGCAGAGCAGGAGATGCACAAATTAACATTAAGATCGACAACACTCTAATTACCAGACATATTGAGGGCAAATTCCTAGGCCTATACCTTGAAAGCAACCTGAATTTCAGCACCCATATCCAATACATAACCAAAAAAGTATCCAAAACGGTTGGGATCCTCTCCAAGATACGATAGTACGTGCCGCAAAATGCCCTTCTCACACTGTACCACTCATTTATCCATACCTCACCTATGCTATTTGTGCTTCGGGATCAACTGCAGCAACACACCTAAAGCCAATAATAACCCAACAAAAAGCTGCAGTAAGAATAATCACTAAATCCCATCCCTGGCAACACCCCCCCCCCCTCCACTCTTCATAGATCTAAACTTACTCCCTGTTCAGTACATCCACACTTACTACTGTGCAATCTACATCTACAGGACCTTAAACTCCAATATCAACCTTGACCTAAAACGCTTTCTTGATAGTTGTGACAGAACCCACAGGCATAACACCAGACACAAACATCTCTACGACATTCCCCGTATCCGACTAAACCTTTACAAAAATTCAATGTATGTCAAAGGCCCTAAAATCTGGAACACCCTACCTGAAAACTCTAGAACTGCAGACACATTCATCACCTTCAAAACTACCATTAGAAAACATCTTGTCTCCCTGATACACCCCGTCAACTAACTACACGAATACCACCTGGTGGTTCACACTTACACTCACTCACCCATTTGACCATAAACAGAAATATTAATCTCAATCTTAAAATAATGAATCCTATGATACTCCAATACTGAAACTATGTATTGTGCCAAAACAAAAGAATTCACATTGCTAAACTCACAAACTAGTATTTAGTCACTTAGCCATAATACCAACTTACCTCATAATTTGTAATATTTTAAAATAAAGAATTAATCTAAGTCTGCCCGAAATGCCTAGCCATGCTAGGTGTTCTAGTGGTACACTCTGTAATTATTATTTTACTGCATGTAAACCACACAATAACCAAATTCTGTAAACTCAACATTGTAATCCTTATAAAGAATAAACTTTAAATTTGAATTTGAATTTGAATCTATCTATCTCTTTCTCTCTCTCTCTCTCTCTCTCTCTCTCTCTCTCTCTCTCTCTCTCTCTCTCTCTCTCTCTCTCTCTCTCTCTCTGCATCTATCTATCTATCTGTGTATCTATCTATCTATCTATCTCTTTTTCTCTCTCTCTCTGTATCTATCTATTTCATAGATAGATAATGATAGATAGCTTTTAAACGTACCGAGGTTGTAAACAGGTCTTAGCTCCTAACTTCAGCTGTGAACAAACAAGTATACTAATTCTATCAAACAATGTAGACAGGAACACATTGTTCAGCACGATCAGTGCCAGAACAAGTAAACAAAAATTCTCAAGGTTATCGAGAACCAACACTAAATAAATAACAAAAACAAGGGTTTATGGAAAGAAATGATGCCACCAGACAAAAACAGCGGGGCCTAGAGCTGTTACTCAACACCAGCAAACTACAGTATTAAAACACACAAAAAACACAGGAAAACACTCACACGCACACACGAAGGAGCACACGCGCGCAAGGCACACACCACGAACATATACACACAAACACACACACACACACACAAACACACACACACACACACACACACACACACACACACACACACACACACACACACACACACACACAGTAGCAACCAGTGAAGAAGCGGGGCCAGGAGCTAAGAATCGACCCCTGCAACCACAAATAGGTGAGTACACACACACACACACACACACACACACACTGCAATGGATCAGGGAATACTTGTCAGGAAGACAGCAGAGAGTAATGGTACGAGGCGAGGTGTCAGAGTGGGCACCTGTGACCAGTGGGGTCCCACAGGGGTCAGTCCTAGGACCAGTGCTGTTTCTGGTATTTGTGAACGACATGACGGAAGGAATAAACTCCGAGGTGTCACTGTTTGCAGATGACGTGAAGTTGATGAGAAGAGTTCATTCGATCGAAGACCAGGCAGAAATACAAAGGGATCTGGACAGGCTGCAGACCTGGTCCAGCAACTGGCTCCTGGAGTTCAATCCCACCAAGTGCAAAGTCATGAGGATTGGGGAAGGGCAAAGAAGACCGCAGATGGAGTACAGTCTAGGGGGTCAGAGACTACAAACATCACTCAAGGAAAAAGATCTTGGGGTGAGTATAACACCAGGCACATCTCCTGAAGCGCACATCAACCAAATAACTGCTGCAGCATATGGGCGCCTGGCAAACCTCAGAACAGCATTCCGACATCTTAATAAGGAATCGTTCAGGACCCTATACACCGTGTACGTTAGGCCCATATTGGAGTATGCGGCACCAGTTTGGAACCCACACCTAGCCAAGCATGTAAAGAAACTAGAGAAAGTGCAAAGGTTTGCAACAAGACTAGTCCCAGAGCTAAGAGGTATGTCCTATGAGGAGAGGTTAAGGGAAATCAACCTGACGACACTGGAGGACAGGAGAGATAGGGGGGACATGATAACGACTTACAAAATACTGAGAGGAATTGACAAGGTGGACAAAGACAGGATGTTCCAGAGACTGGACACAGTAACAAGGGGACACAGTTGGAAGTTGAAGACACAGATGAATCAAAGGGATGTTAGGAAGTATTTCTTCAGCCACAGAGTAGTCAGGAAGTGGAATAGTTTGGGAAGCGATGTAGTGGAGTCAGGATCCATACATAGCTTTAAGCAGAGGTACGATAAAGCTCATGGTTCAGGGAGAGTGACCTAGTTGCGACCAGTGAAGAGGCGGGGCCAGGAGCTTGGACTCGACCCCTGCAACCTCAACTAGGTGAGTACAACTAGGTGAGTACACACACACACGCACACACACACACACACACACACACACACACACACACACACACACACACACACACACACACACACACACACACACACACACACACATACACACAGGAAGGCCAGGGCGAATGAAGCCAAACTACAAGAAAGGGGACTGCACAGGAATGAGGAACTTCCTGAACGGGGTTCAGTGGGACAGAGAACTGGCAGGGAAGCCAGTTAATGAGATGATGGAATATGTAGCAACAATGTCCAAGGAGGCTGAGGAGAGATTTGTACCCAAGGGAAACAGGAATAATGAAAAAGCCAGGATGAGCCCATGGTTCACCCAAAGATGCAAGGAGGCAAAAACCAAGTGTGCTAGGGAATGGAAGAAATATAGAAGGCAAAGGACCCAGGAGAATAAGGAGAGCAGTCGTAGAGCCAGAAACGAATATGCACAGATAAGAAGGGAGGCCCAAAGACAATATGAAAATGACATAGCAGCGAAAGCCAAATCTGACCCGAAGCTGTTATACAGCCACATCAGGAGGAAAACAATAGTCAAGGACCAGGTAATCAAGCTAAGGAAGGAAGAAGGAGAGACAACAAGAAATGACCGTGAAGTATGTGAGGAACTCAACAAGAGATTCAAAGAAGTGTTCACAGAGGAGACAGAAGGGGCTTCAGAAAGACGGAGAGGTGGAATACACAACCAAGTGCTGGACACAGTACACACAACCGAGGAAAAAGTGAAGAGGCTTCTGAGTGAGCTAGATACCTCAAAGGCAATGGGGCCGGAATAGGCAGTGCTTCCCACCAACTCTCAGGAATTCTCGCAAAACACCTCTCTAAACTCTTGGGCACTATCAGTCCAGCACATCTCAAACACTCGGGTGATCTTCTCAATCGCATTCGCAACATCAACATCGGGAACAAGAAACTTTCCATCCTTGACGTGACTTCCCTATTCACCAAAGTACCTACTACACAAGCCATCGATCTCTTGCGCAGGAAAATTGCCGATTCACTTGATCTTCCTATTCCAGCCACGATTTCATCGCCCTTGTTGATATGTGTTGGCTTTACGTGTTTCTCTTCGAAAATCCCCTTTTCAGCAGACTTTTTGGACTCCCATGGCTCCCCTCATGCCGCCTGGCGAACCTATACTGGAACATCTAGAAGCCGAACGTTTCTCCACCATTATTCCTTTCGACTGTCACCTGCTCCGTTATGTTGACGACATTTCCTCTATTTCCTAGACGCTTAAACGTTCAAGTTCTCCAACAAAAAGTCACCGGTCGAGCCTTCAATCCAGTTCACACTTGAAAAGTCACAACACTTTTCCTTTCCTGATGTTCTTCTTGCAAAGCTGACACGAACTTCGTTTTAAAGTCTATCGAAAACCACCAAAAAAAAAAAAACGATCTTCTCCACTTTTACTCTCACCACGACCCAAAACCCTAAACGTATGTAATTATAGGCTTCTTCCCTCTTTCACCGAATCTGCAGAAAATGATTTCCCTTGAGGAAATTGCACATAATTGAACAAGTATTTTCTAAACATATCTCGCATTTATCAGAGATGCAGACGGCGGGCATTAAACATTTCAACACCCCAGGAAGAAACTGCCGAAAAGATCATAGTCCTCCCACAACTCCATTGCCAACACTTTTCCAAACATCTTTTCCATTACTCTTTCCCAAAGTATCTACCTCCACAACCACGACATCAAGGAATTCCAGTGATAGACAGGACAAGTTTCCACCTCTGCAGGGATACATAATCCCTTGTAATGCTGCAACAAATTATATGGGGACGAAACATCAAGGACTTCCAAACACGATTAGAACACAAAATAAAGAGTCTGACGATCAAGGAAAAGCCTGTGTACAACACCGTAATTCACAAAACACTTAAAAACTGCAAAATCAAGACTATCGCCACAGAAGACAACACTCAATACTGAAGAATCCTGAATCATCACTTATTTATATATCCGACAACTTCAACCAGAATAGTGGCTTCTATAACATAGCTGAACCACTTGCCAAGAACCTTCTCCATCGCTATCCCACATAAGAACATAGGAATGGAAGAACACTGCAGAAGGTCTACTGACAAACTTATCCAATCTCCCTTCCAAGCTACCCAAGATTTTAGACTCTATAACCCCACTCGGTACATCATCAGATGCAGCATTCTCCACCTGACCTCAGCATTCTGAACCTGACTATGAATACTCGCGTACCTTCCACCCCAGGTAGATCTGTTTGTGACTTGAAAAAGCCCTCTGTGTGGGCGAAACTTCGTCAATAAAGGATCACATTATACTGCATATGTGTTTATATTTCCATTGTGTCGGTATTTTATATCATTTATTCCCATTTTGAATATCGTAAACATGTGACTCCTGGTATTTCTGTTCTCTGACGTCTTCAGGTTTAGCTCCTCTGGTCTCTCCTCATAACTCACGATCCTCACCTCTGGCACTAATCTCAAGCAATCATTTACTTTTTTTCCAGGTTCTAGGCTCCATCTTTTTCATATTCGTCTAGGTATGGAATGTCCATCTAGTACTCAAACACTCTGGATACATAATTTTACATTTTATCTCAAAAAAATAGTGGGTTTGCAAATTTATACTTATTTTTGTCCATAGCAATATTACTGCAGCATTGCAGGTTATAAGTGTGCAGCCAGCCAGCAGCGTTGATCAACAGTAAAGCATTAACCTGACGTATCCTGTGTTTACAGTCGATCATCTTGCTCCAGCTGATGAGTTGGGTTTTCCTGCCTGTCTTCATTGCCAGCAGGGTGAGTGATCTTATATGCTTGCATTGTAACTCTCTCTCTCACACAGATTATGTAATATGTACAATATAAACTACATATGTTCAGCTCGCTGAATGATCCAAGAAATATTTTCTTCCGTCTTTCACAACCCGCACTTCCTTCAAGACACTGACTAACTGTAACTTAACTAGTTTAAGAGTCCCAGGAACTCAACCCACAGTGTCGTGTATAACACCAACCTGATGGTTAAAGAGTCATAAATACAGTATAATGTGGTTAAAGTAAGACCGAAACGTAGTCTTAAATATCAGTCTTACACGTGAAGGTTATTTGTGTAAAGTGATCCTTTAATGACGACGTAACTTGGTGAAGTTCACAGCGTTGGCGGAACGTTATTAATGAAGTACCAGTGGGTCTGTGTACTGTTTACTAGTGGGTCTGTGTACTGTTTACTAGTGGGTCTGTGTACTGTTTACTAGTGGGTCTGTGTACTGTTTACTAGTGGGTCTGTGTACTGTTTACTAGTGGGTCTGTGTATTGTTTACCAGTGGGTCTGTGTACTGTTTACTAGTGGGTCTGTGTATTGTTTACCACTGGGTCTGTGTTTTGTTTACTAGTGGGTCTGTGTATTGTTTACCAGTGGGTCTGTGTACTGTTTACTAGTGGGTCTGTGTATTGTTTACCAGTGGGTCTGTGTACTGTTTACTAGTGGGTCTGTGTATTGTTTACCAGTGGGTCTGTGTACTGTTTACTAGTGGGTATGTGTATTGTTTACCAGTGGGTTTTGTGTATGTTTACTAGTGGGTCTGTGTACTGTTTACTAGTGGGTCTGTGTACTGTTTACTGGTGGGTCTGTGTACTGTTTACTAGTGGGTCTGTGTATTGTTTACCACTGGGTCTGTGTACTGTTTACTAGTGGGTCTGTGTATTGTTTACCAGTGGGTCTGTGTACTGTTTACTAGTGGGTCTGTGTATTGTTTACCATGGGTTGTGTACTGTTTAAATAGTGGGTCTGTGTATTGTTTACCAGTGGGTCTGTGTCTGTTTACTAGTGGGTCTGTGTATTGTTTACCCGTGGGTCTGTGTATGTTTACTAGTGGGTCTGTGTATTGTTTACCAGTGGGTCTGTGTACTGTTTACTAGTGGGTATGTGTAAATTTTTTACCAGTGGGTCTGTGTACTGTTTACTAGTGGGTCTGTGTACTGTTTACTAGTGGGTCTGGTACTGGGTTTTCTGGTGGGTCTGTGTACTGTTTACTAGTGGGTCTGTGTACTGTTTACTAGTGGGTTTGTGTACTGTTTACTAGTGGGTCTGTGTACTGTTTACTAGTGGGTCTGTGTACTGTTTACTAGTGGGTCTGTGTACTGTTTACTAGTGGGTTTTGTGTTATTGTTTACCACTGGGTCTGTGTATGTTTACTAGTGGGTCTGTGTATTTTTTTACCAGTGGGTCTGTGTACTGTTTACTAGTAGGTCTGTGTACTGTTTACTAGTGGGTCTGTGTACTGTTTACTAGTGGGTCTGTGTACTGTTTACTAGTGGGTCTGTGTATTGTTTACCACTGGGTCTGTGTACTGTTTACTAGTGGGTCTGTGTATTGTTTACCAGTGGGTCTGTGTACTGTTTACTAGTGGGTCTGTGTACTGTTTACTAGTGGGTCTGTGTACTGTTTACTAGTGGGTCTGTGTACTGTTTACTAGTGGGTCTGTGTATTGTTTACTAGTAGGTCTGTTTTATGTTTTCTGTGGGTCTGTGTACTGTTTACTAGTGGGTCTGTGTACTGTTTACTAGTGGGTCTGTGTATTGTTTACCACTGGGTCTGTGTACTGTTTACTAGTGGGTTGTGTATTGTTTACAGTGGGTCTGTACTGTTTACTAGTGGGTCTGTGTACTGTTTATAGGGGGGTCTGTGTACTGTTTACTAGTGGGTCTGGGGTACTGTTTACTAGTGGGTCTGTGTATTGTTTACCAGTGGGTCTGTTTTTACTGTTTATAGTGGGTCTGTGTATTGTTACAGTGGGGTCTGTGTACTGTTTACTAGTGGGTCTGTGTATTGTTTACCAGTGGGTCTGTGTACTGTTTACTAGTGGGTCTGTGTATTGTTTACCAGTGGGTTTGTGTACTGTTTACTATTGGGTCTCTGTATTGTTTACCAGTGGGTCTGTGTATTGTTTACCAGTGGGTCTGTGTACTGTTTACTAGTGGGTCTATGTATTGTTTACCAGTGGGTCTGTGTACTGTTTACTAGTGGGTCTCTAATATTTACCAGTGGGTCTGTGTATAGTTTACCAGTGGATCTATGTATTGTTTACCAGTGGATCTGTGTTTTGTTTACCAGTGGATCTGTGTATTGTTTACCAGTGGGTCTGTGTATAGTTTACCAGTGGATCTATGTATTGTTTACCAGTGGATCTGTGTTTTGTTTACCAGTGGGTCTGTGTATTGTTTACCAGTGGGTCTGTGTATTGTTTACCAGTGGGTCTGTGTATTGTTTACCAGTGCGCCTGTGTATTGTTTACCAGTGTGCCTGTGTATTGTTTACCAGTGGATCTATGTATTGTTTACCAGTGGATCTGTGTTTTGTTTACCAGTGGGTCTGTGTATTGTTTACCAGTGGGTCTGTGTATTGTTTACCAGTGGGTCTGTGTATTGTTTACCAGTGGGTCTGTGTATTGTTTACCAGTGGGTCTGTGTATTGTTTACCAGTGCGCCTGTGTATTGTTTACCAGTGTGCCTGTGTATTGTTTACCAGTGGGCCTGTGTATTGTTTACCAGTGGGTCTGTGTTTTGTTTACCAGTGGGTCTGTGTATTGTTTACCATTGGATCTGTGTATTTTTTACCAGTGGATCTGTGTTTTGTTTACCAGTGGATCTATATATTGTTTACCAGTGGGTCTGTGTATTGTTTACCAGTGGATCTGTGTTTTGTTTACCATTGGATCTGTGTTTTGTTTACTAGTGGATCTGTGCATTGTTTACCAGTGGGCCTGTGTATTGTTTACCAGTGGATCTGTGTTTTGTTTACCAGTGGGCCTGTGTATTGTTTACCAGTGGATCTATGTATTGTTTACCAGTGGGTCTGTGTATTGTTTACCAGTACGCCTGTGTATTGTTTACCAGTGGATCTATGTATTGTTTACCAGTGGATCTGTGTATTGTTTACCAGTGGATCTATGTATTGTTTACCAGTGGATCTGTGTATTGTTTACCAGTGGATCTATGTATTGTTTACCAGTGGGTCTGTGTTTTGTTTATCAGAACGCCTGTGTATTGTTTACCAGTGGATCTATGTATTGTTTACCAGTGGGTCTGTGTATTGTTTACCAGTACGCCTGTGTATTGTTTACCAGTGGATCTATGTATTGTTTACCAGTGGATCTGTGTATTGTTTACCAGTGGATCTATGTATTTTTTACCAGTGGATCTGTGTTTTGTTTACCAGTGGATCTGTGTATTGTTTACCAGTGGGCCTGTGTATTGTTTACCAGTGCATCTAAGTATTGTTTACCAGTGGGTTTGTGTATTGTTTACCAGTGGATCTGTGTATTGTTTACCAGTGGATCTGTGTATTGTTTACCAGTACATCTATGTATTGTTTACCAGTGGGTTTGTGTACTGTTTACCAGTGGATCTGTGTATTGTTTACCAGTGGATCTGTGTATTGGTTACCAGTGGGTCTGTGTATTGTTTACTAGTGGGTCTGTGTATTGTTTACTAGTGGGTCTGTGTACTGGTTACCAGTGGGTCTGTGTATTGGTTACCATTGGGTCTTTAATTAACAGGACCAACACCTCAACTCAGTCAAATAATTGAAAAAACAAAAACAGGACAATTACTCTCGGTACTGTTGTAATGTTGAAGGTCTTCACTTGTTTCATGATCCAACAGAACCTGACACATCAAATAATAAACAATAATGTTGGAAATTACCTAAATTGATGGATGGAAATATAGAACAACAAAAATAAAGATTTTTTGGTTGCTGGAGTAAACTTAACACAATGTATCGAACATCAAAACGCCATAAAAAGAAAATTTTTTCTATTTATCTGTCTTCTTTCCATAGTTATATTCGGTTCTTAATGCTCCTCAATCCTTAAAAAACGAAAAAGAAAATATTAACGTTTAGAAAACTAGTACCTACATTATCCTGTAAGTTAAAACCTTCTTATAAGTAACTTAAACAAGTTTTTAACTTTTAAAGAATATCAGAAGAGATATTCCCCAGTTGGCGCAAGGAATACAATATTACAGTTAATTAATATTGGCAAATTGATATTAATATATTATTATTATTATAATCAAGGGGAAGCGCTAAACCCGGAGGATTATACAGCGCCTGGGGGGGGGGATGTGGAAGGCATTCAGGCTTAATTCGGGGAACTGGAGCACAGATCCAATTCCCTAAATCAAGAGCCCCTCACCAACATCAAGGAACCTTCCTTGAGGGGTGATATTAATATAGCCCATTTACTATGCCAGATTTATTGTGATTAAAATACACCGAAGCTGGAATTTTGAAGATCAGGAAAGAAGTTCCAAAATTATTGTTTATGAATCTAGAGGAAAGAAGCAAACAACTGGACAAGCACTAGAGGACTGTTCACTCTGACAACACCAACAACTAGACAAGCACTAGAGGACTGACCACTCTGACAACACCAACCAAACTAGAACAAGCACTAGAGGACTGACCACTCTGACAAACACCAACAACTAGACAAGCACTAGAGGACTGACCACCTGACAACAACCAACAACTAGACAAGCACTAGAGGACTGACCACTCTGACAACACCAACAACTAGACAAGCACTAGAGGACTGACCACTCTGACAACACCAACAACTAGACAAGCACTAGAGGACTGACCACTCTGACAACACCAACAACTAGACAAGCACTAGAGGACTGACCACTCTGACAACACCAACAACTAGACAAGCACTAGAGGACTGACCACTCTGACAACACCAACAACTAGACAAGCACTGAGGACTGACCACTCTGACAACACCAAC